TGCTTCCTGTAGTCAGCCACTGGTCAGTTTCAGCAGCAGCTGAATCTGGACGCCAGTTCCGACTTACATATAGATTCAACTTAAGAACAAACCCACAGTCCCTATCTTGTACGTAACCCGGGGACTGCCTGTATGCTTTGAACTCTATACTGAATAGTATAGTTCAGGCTGGAGAAGTCCCAGGCTGTGCAAGTCATAAGCACTTGTAGTAGTCAGCCACTGGTCAGTTTCAGCAGCAGCTGAATCTGGACGCCAGTTCCGACTTACATATAGATTCAACTTAAGAACAAACCCACAGTCCCTATCTTGTACGTAACCCGGGGACTGCCTGTATGCTTTGAACTCTATACTGAATAGTATAGTTCAGGCTGGAGAAGTCCCAGGCTGTGCAAGTCATAAGCACTTGTAAGACTGAGGAATTATCAGTGTTAAGCCATTTAGTCTTTCATATATGTACAAGTTAACACATACAAACATGTTGGAAGAGTGTGTGTCTGTAAACCCATAATATAGGCCTTAGGTGGCAAGGTTTATAAACTTGAAATACATAGAGCTCATTGCCTCCCTCTAGTGGTATTTTTTCAAATGGGAAGATTATTTTAATATTACAGAATTAGGGTGAAATTCAAAATAGGGCTTAAATGGTGGATAGTTTATGTGTGGGCCCCTGGCATGGAGGTGATGTTCATTTTAACAAATACTGTAGTGCCTTGGTCAGAATTTTTTCCATAATGGCTAGCGAGCACTGAGAGCATTGTTTTTGTGTAGAGGAAATTGGGGATTTATTTTTGCCATGCCTATTGGAATAGTTTCAATGGCAGTGTGTTATGAAATGGGGGTGACGAAGTTCTCAGTGAAAAGAGGATGGCTGTGAGCAGTTGCTCCGTCCAGAGACATGTAGCCTGGAGAGACAAAATTAGTGAAGTTCCTTTTTGAAAGAGAGCATTCATCTCCAACTCTTGATCCCAGCCTACTGATAGCAAAGCTGCTAAAGAGGTCATTCTTGTTAAATGAACATCTAGACTGCTGCTGATGTAACTGCTGTCTTCCTGGGGTCAGTCTGAGAGAGAGACACTTAAATATCTCTTATTAGCTCTGTATTTTTAAAAAACTATTCTGTGGATTTGGGGGAGAGGGAAGTTGTTTTTCTTTTCACTCATTCTTACATCAGATGGATCATCACTCATCATCTCTCTTTAGTTAGAGGCATGCAGGGCTAAGTCTAAGGGAATCAATCTTCCTGTGATAAAAGAATAAATTAAGAAGTGGGGATTGTTATCATTTATAGAGTCTATTGTCTTTTGAAGAATACCTACTTATAATTACTACTGAAGACAGTTGCCCATTTGAATCAGATGAAGACCTTTGTGCAGCTGGCTGTAACTATGACCAATTTTACATGCGTCAAGCAATGGATTATCTGCTTCTCAGTGAGCTCTGGTTTTTATCTAATTTTACAGCTATGTTACCTGAAGCACAAGGAGACGAAGTGACTTAGGCCAGGTCTATACTAGGAGAAAGTTGACCTAAGATGCACAACTCCAACTACGGGAATAGTGTAGCTAATCAATGTACCATAGGTTGAATTTCTGCAGCGTCCGCACTGAAAGAGGTTGATGTGAGAAACTCTCCTGTTGACTTCCCTTTCTTGTCACAACTTGGTGGAGTACTGAGGTTGACAGGCACCATCGGCAGTCAGTTTAGTGAGTCCTTACAAGACCCATTAAATTTAACCCCAGGGAGATCTATTTCCAGTGCATCGATCTTGGGCTAAGCGGAGACAAGCCCTTAGCCTCTATAACCACTTGATCACACTGTCCCATCAGAGACATCTCTGCACATACACACTTTGTCTAGTTTAATACAATTACAGCAGTTATGCATATGTGATGGTTTAAAGTTTCTCATTTTTTATTAGCAAGTAACCTTTCTTACAAGCAGTGTTTGTCCTGCAAGGATGTATTCAGTGATAGATGTTTTAAACAACATGAATAGAAAACTTTTTAATTTCACAGGTTATAGCTGTTGAATCATGCAAAGATGTACTGCTAAATAACTTCGTAAAAAAACAAACACATTTCTGTATTTTTAGGTGGAATATCAATGTGAAGGCTTCCTGGAAAAGAACAAAGACACAGTTTATGAAGAACAAATCAAGGTCCTTCAGTGATAGATGTTTTAAACAACATGAATAGAAAACTTTTTAATTTCACAGGTTATAGCTGTTGAATCATGCAAAGATGTACTGCTAAATAACTTCGTAAAAAAACAAACACATTTCTGTATTTTTAGGTGGAATATCAATGTGAAGGCTTCCTGGAAAAGAACAAAGACACAGTTTATGAAGAACAAATCAAGGTCCTAAAATCAATCCCCCCCCCCCCCCCATATGGGATGCCAAGATAAAGGTCAGTTTAACGTGAAGCTTTTTAAAAATGATCATTAGAAACTAAAGTTATTTTTTGCCTTGAGTATAAATGGCCATCTTCCCTTGGCTATACTTTCTATTTATTTAGTTATTCGTACATATTTAGAAAGTTATGGGGCAATCTTTCTCCCATTCAAGTATGTCTTTATTTAGCCATAGATATATTAATGGAATGGTACTGGAATATTTACTTTGAAAATCACAAATTAGAAATGGGTTTGGTATGTTTGCTGGTTGGAACCTTTATTATTATTATTATTATTTATTATTATTTTAACTTTTATCCTTGCATGAATTTTCAATTAAATTTCATTTAAAATTTGTTTAGGCTTTTTGAGAAATTATGACGGGATCATGATAGATCACAATAATAATGGAAGGCTTGACTGTTTCCTTCTAAACTGCACATTCTTTGATTGTTAAATGTTTTATGAAAACAGAAGAGTCTTTCCAGTACAGATCAGTTAAACATAAACAAGTATGCAAGCATGTTAGGTTGCCTCTGTGTACCTGCTCCAAAAGCCAAATCAAAATGAGAACTCAGTAAAGCAGGAAAATCTACATTGGCTGAAGAATTTACTGATCCCTGAAGGTGGCTTTTTAATAAAAAAAAACTCCATTAGACTATCCCATTTAAAAATTAAAAAGTATTACCCCAAGGTATAATATGTGACATGGTCACTGTTGAAGGACTATTTTCTCTTAATGGTAGGAATGCTAGCTGTTTGTCTTCTGAACTAAAAAAAGCAAGTACAAAATGTACTTCCTGGTAACCATAGTAGGGAATTTGCTAGCTGAAGGGCTGCAGACAGATTGGAATGATACCCATGCAATCATTAATGTAGCTGATAGCCATCCTGTGGCAAAGATGAAATATCTAAACTTTGTATGGAATGAGAAGTTACAAATATTTTCTCTTCAGCAGTGTTTTGTTCAGGTTGATGTTAACCTCTGCGACCATGTCAGCTGCTGTGATGCCTTCTGTGAGTTGTGATTGTGGACCCATTATGCTCCTGTTCTTCCCTCTAGGCACTGCTGCCTAGCCACAGTGCCTCAGCCACTGGAAGAGACTGTGAGGATCATGGAGGTTCTAGTCAGTTTGGGGAGAATGGCCCACAGGGAAGAATGGGGCACAAGGGAACTGAAACCATAACTCACATAAAGCATGGTGCCATTTTAGGCAGATACTGAGATTAACGTCATCTTGATCTAGTCCCATCTGAAATTAAATGCTTTGATTTTCCTAATGGAAAATGTTTAAAAAATCCTTTTTTTTTCTTGCAAAAACTTTAGATTTGGGGGGAAAACCCATTATCCAATGAAAAAAATGTTTCTCTGGAAGTTTTTCAGGCAGCCTTAATTGTTAAAACAAAATACAGGACTATGTAGCACTTTAAAGACTAACAAGATGGTTTATTAGATGATGAGCTTTCGTGGGCCAGACCCACTTCCTCAGATCAAATAATGGAAGAAAATAGTCACAACCATATATACCAAAGGATACAATTTAAAAAAAATGAACACACATGAAAAGGACAAATCACATTACAGAACAGAAGGGGGATGTGGGGGTGGTTTATTAGATGATGAGCTTTCGTGGGCCAGACCCACTTCCTCAGATCAAATAATGGAAGAAAATAGTCACAACCATATATACCAAAGGATACAATTAAAAAAAAAAATGAACACACATGAAAAGGACAAATCACATTGCAGAACAGAAGGGGGATGTGTGTGTGGGGGGGGGAAGGAAGGTGAATGCCAGTGAGTTAATGATATTAGAGGTGGGGAAGGGGAAATGTCTGTGAGTTAATAGTATTAGAGGTGATAATTGGGGAAGCTATCTTTGTAATGGGTAAGATAGTTGGAGTCTTTGTTAATTGCCCTGCGGAGAGTGTCGAATTTTAGCATAAATGCCAGTTCAGAGGATTCCCTTTCAAGTGCAGATTTGAATGTCTTCTGAAGTAGGATGCAGGTTAGCAGGTCATTCAGACAGTGTCCTTTCTGGTTGAAATGACAAGCAACTGTTTTTTCTTTGTGATCCTGTCTAATGTCTGTTTTGTGGGCATTGATTCTTTGGCGAAGTGTCTGAGACGTTTGTCCAATGTACATAGCAGACGGACACTTTCGGCACATGATAGCATAGATTATATTTCTGGAGGCGCAGGAATATGTATTCTTGATCTTATAACTCACTTGGTTAGGCCCAATAATGGTGTCAGCAGAGTGAATATGTGGACAAAGCTGGCAACGGGGTTTGTTGCAAGGGAAAGTACCAGGGTTGGTATTAGTGTGGTATGTCCTGTGGTTGTTGGTAAGAATCATCTTGAGGTTAGGTGGTTGGCTACTGGAGATTATGGGTCTGTCTCCCAGAGCTTCTTGGAGTTTAGTGTCCTGTTCCAGTATAGGCTGTAATTTATTGATAATGTGTTG